TCACATCACCCGGAGCACCCGGGCTTCCGACTCCCAGCTATTGGGTTCTCACCCCTGCCTCCCCTCCACACCCCCACCGTGCACACACACCTCCTCCCTCAGATCCCCGCGCCCCACCACCAATCCCTCTCTCCTCAAGCCCCCTCCCTTTCGAGAGACACCACTCTCCACCTCCACGAGAAAACTGTGGCTGCCAGCTCCAGCCTTGCAACTGTCACATGTGCTCCATCCACACGTGCCTCCCTGTAGGGCCTGGGGCTCGGGCACTCCTCTCCTCCGCGGTCCTGCCTGTTCCCTCTGAGCATTCACACAATCACCTCCTTTCTTTCCGGCCCCTTCCACGGCCTTTAAATACATCGTCGTCTCCCGTTTTCTGTGGAATACAGGCCCTTGGCCCCGTGTTCCTCCTGGCCAGTCGCATTTCCTCAGAGGACCGTGCTCCTCGTAGCTCTGCCTCTGCCCTCACACCTTCTCCCTACAGCCTGCGGCATCCGGTGCCAGTGGCCACTCCTCGCAACACCTTGCGTCCCGGCTGTCTGTGCGGTCTCACTCCTGCCTCTCCCTGTGCCTCTTGGTCACTGTCACTCTGTCTCCTCTGTGGGCTCCTTATCCTCCACCTGGCTCTCGTGTTGGTGTTTTCTATGCAGACTTCCCTCTTTGGGTCTGGTTTTGGCTCTTAAATTTGTCCCACGGCCCTCTTTTCTGAACCCGAGACCAATACACCCAGGATGCTTCTGTCTGAACATTCCTAAGGTACCCTGAGTTCTGCTCCGTGAGGGTCACACCCGGATCCTCCTCCTGTATCTCCAACCATGGACACTCAGTCATCTGGCCTGGAGTGTGGGGTCGTCTTGGCTTCTCCCGGATGGTGACCGGCCTCTCCTCTTCTTACCCCCTCTTTACTTGCCAGACATGATCACCGAGGCCCCTAGATTCTGCACATCCCCTCCATACCCATCTCTCCTGTCACCACGTGGGCTGGGTCCCCACACGACCTTCTTCTACCTCCTGACGGATCCTCTGAAATCCAACCCCTGTACAGCTTCGTGAGTGTTTGAAAAAATGAAAAGCTGGGCACATCAATTCTGAGCTCGAAACTGCCAGCGGTGTGGTGTTCAATGCTGCCTGACCACTGCCTGGTCACTTAAGCTGGTCTTAACGTCCTGATGGAAGAATAAAGGGAAGACGTCGCCAGGACAGTTGTCAAGAAGGGCAGTACAGGCCTTGCCCTACCAGATATCAGAACAACACACAAAATGGTAGGAACGCACCCAGTTTGGTGTTGGGGCAGAGACAGAGAAACAGTTCGGTAAATTAGAAGGGAGAGCCCGGACTCGCTTCATGATGGTGGGTCGGTGGGGCAGGGAGGGTCTTTTCAGTACACGGCGCTAGAACCATCGGGCTCCGTGGGGAGAAAGACGAAATTGGGGTCCTCCCACCTTATGTTACACAAGCGGATTCACACCATGAATGTAAAAAAGCAAAAATGTGAAACTACTCGGGAAAAAAACATAAGAGACGATGTCGATGACCTTGGGGAAAGAAACAAAAAGCATAAGACCTAAAGTACAAAAAAAACAAAACAAAACTGAATTGATTGCATTAAAATTAAACATTTCTGCACCAAAACAAACAAATGAAAGTCAGCAAAATCAATGTTAAGAGGCAAGGTGTACTCTGGGAGGAGGGATCATGTCACCCACACCCCCAGCAAAGGATTCGTGTTGAGATATATATAAAGAACTTCAAATATCAGTAAGAAAGAGGCAAACCACATAGAGAAAATGGGTAAAGGACACAAACGGGAAATTCACAAAAGAGGAAAACCCCACGTGACCAATAACTACAAGGAGAGATGCTTAACCTCACCGGTGATCATGGGAATGCAAATTGTATAGTAACGGTGAGAAAAAAATGTTTTTACCTTAGTAGGTTGTCAAAAATTAATTAGCCCAACAACATCAAGTGGTGGCCAGGATGTGGGAAAATGGGCTCTTAGGGTGCCAAATATTTGGAAAGCTATTAGCCTGGCGAGTGAAGGTGAAGATGCTATGCCTTTGTGACCAGGCGATTCCGGTTCTAGGTATCCCCCAGATTTCCCCCAGGAAACCCCTGCACGTAGTATACGCACAAGGAGACACATTTATGAGGAAGCTCTATGTAGCATTGTGTATAACAGCAAAAAGTCTACATGCCCCTCAGGAGGGAAATGGATAAATGAGCTGTGGTCTATTCACCCAACAAATTCTACAGAGCAGAAAACAGCGAAGACACTGAACTTAAACTGAATTTATACGTATCCATACAGCTCACGTCCTAGAAGCATAAGCTCAGTGGAAAAGTGCAAGGTGCAAAACAATGCTTACACTGAGGCATGACGCCAGTTTTGTAAACACCGTAACACATACAAAACAACAGTATAATAGAAAAACCCTGCACAGGAATAACATAAATTGGTCTCGGGAGAGTAGATACCTCTATGGGGAAGAAAGAGGAAGGATAGGGTAAGAGGGATTTCTGCTCTATCTGTAGTGTTATTTTACTTAAGAAAAATATAAAATATGGCTAAATGCTAATTTCTGTTAAATATGGATAGTGGGCACAATGGGTACTCTCTACGTGTTCAATATTTCATCATTTAAAATGAGAATATTTTATTTTATTTTTAATTTTTTCTAATGTTTATTTCTTTTTGAGAGATACAGAGACAGAATGCGAGTGGGTTAGGGGCAGAGAGAGAGGGAGACACAGAATTAGAAGCAGGCTCCAGGCTCCGAGTCATCAGCCCAGAGCCCAACGTGGGGCTTGAACTCACGAGCTGTGAAGTCATGACCTGAGCCGAAGTCGGACGCTCAACCGACTGAGCCACCCAGGCGCCCCTAAAATGAGAATATTTTAAAAACACATGGATGAGGTGCCTGGGTGGCTCAGTCGGTTGAGCCTCTGACTTCAGCTTAGGTCATGATCTCACGGTTCGTGAGTTCAAGCCCCACATCGGGCTCTGTGCTGATGGCTCAGAGCCTGGAGCCTGCTTCGGATTCTGTGTCTCCCTCTCTCTCTGACCCTCCCCCATTCATGCTCTGTCTCTGTCTCAAAAATAAATAAACATTAAAAAAAATTTTTTTAAATAAATAAAAACACATGGATGCCTACTATGTGCCAGGGGCTGTGCTGGAATCTTCCATTTGCCCTCCAGATTCGTACTGCACCCTTTTCCACCCTGTGCCATTAACTGGGAGCTGGGCTTGGGGCCTCGGTCAGTGGGCTCCCTTCCCTCTGGCTCCTCATTGGATCAGGCCTATGGGGAGCCGTGGCCAGAGACTGGGGGGAGGGAGGAGAGAGGCTAAGGCACCATTTCCTCCAGACTCCCCTTCAGGGTCACCCCTGAGAGGCGGCAGTTTCCCCAAGTCCTCTCTACTCTGGTTTTCATAACCGCTGTCTCCCTGCACTCCTGTTCCAGCGCTGGGGTGCTGCGATGTCCTTAGGGTTCCTTAAACCCGCCGGCCGCTTTCTGAAAAATTCCTCTGATCACCCCGCTGGACTGTGCCATCTGTGTCCTGCTGAGGCCCTGCGGTGCTTTCATTTAACCCACACAACAGCCCTCTGAGGTCTGTACATTAGCCTTAATTCACAAATGGGGAAGCAGCAGCTCAGGAGGTTAAGCTTCAAGGGCAGGGAGCTGGTTGGCTAGGCAATCAGGTTCAAGTCTGGGCCCTGTGAATCCATGAGCAGACACCTGGGACCACCTGCCTGCCACTCCCTCCAGGAATCCCCCTTCCCACCACTGCTAGGGTCACAGGGGAGCCTACGCCAGACCGCTGTGGCCTTGCTCCTGGATCCGGATAGGGATAGACACCTTTCCTGAGGATTTTTCAGATGTGAGTCTAGAACATGTCTGAGGACATCTAGGTGTGCAAGAGAACCTAGATGTTGCCAACGGCCATGTTTCCTGCTTGTGGAAAAGAGTCCCGTTTTAGTCGTTCCCGCAGCCCTGGGCCGCGTCCTTCTTTCCCTGGCTGCTCGGCCCTTCCTGGACCCCATAAGCCAAAGGTTCCCCTTTTGGTTGAGGCAGCCAGCGTCTGTCTCATTGTCCGCAGCCCAAGGAACCTGACCCCGAGGCCCCGCCACACCACACCGCCTCCTAGAGGGCTGCCTGGGTGGCCTAGCCTGGTGGCAGGACGCAAGGGAGGCTGCTGGAGGTCCCAACTGCAGCCCGCACAGGACATCTCAAAAACAGACTCTGGCAGACCATGATAACGAAGCCGGAGAGGCGGGGCCCGCACCTCACCGGATCCGGTCCTCGGAAGGCCCTGGAGGAGTGTGCGGAGGTACCGGACGGGTAACTAAGCTTCGTGTGAGCGAGCGTTTTCCTGGCGAGGAGTTCCACTCTGCCAGCAGCTCTGTCAACCCGGGAGTGTATCTGAAGCATCTGCAGAGTGTGTGAGAAATGGGGTTTCTTGGGCCCGTCCTGGAGGTTCTCATCCCACTGGCTCTCCAGGTGACTGGCACGTGCGCCCCGGAACACCTTCCGCTCAATCTCTGTCCTGGAGGAAGCGTCTCGTGTGGCTGCTCCGGAGACGAAGGGGAAGAACGGAAGCCCTCCTGCTCTGTTTTCGTTTGGCACTATTGCTCAATGAACGAGTCCGTGCGGAGGGTGGAATTTGCCTTGTTTATCAGTGGCATGGACGTGGGATCACACCCCCTGAGTCACTCTGGCTCCCACCCTGGGTTCAGAAAGTATTTTGTAAAGGTCAGTTCGCGCACTGCTCCTCCCCTGGAGTTTGAACTGGAATTTGACTCCCAGTGTTGTTGTAGTAAATGAGAACGGTGATAATTAAGGTGGAGCGTTCCACCCCCGGCACCGCGTGGTGCCGCCATGCGTGGGAGTGCTGCCCTCCACTCAGGGGTGGCGGGTTCATAGGTGAGAAAGCCAGGGCTTACGCAGTTGCCATGGGCTGCTGGGGGGTGGGGGGCTCGCAGTTCAAAGGTCAGGCATTGGTGAAAACCCGAGGCAGAAGAAACACAGTGACACATCTGAGGTGATCTGATAAGCGGGAGGCACTTCCTCCAGGAACTCTGTTGGGTAAGGTCCAATTGCTACTGTTGCAGGTGAAGGTGGAGAGGACCAACATCTATTATGCACCAGCTGTGTGCCAGGCCTGTACGAACACTCCAACACGGACTCCTATGCAGTTGGTAATTTGACAACTGCCGTTAAAAATTTTTTTCTTAAAGGTTTATTCATTTTTCAGAGACAGACAGAGACAGAACATGAGGTGGGGAGGGGCAGAGAGAGAGGGAGACACAGACTCTGAAGCAGGCTCCGGGCTCTGACCTGTCAGCACAGAGCCCGACGTGGGGCTCGAACCCATGAACTGTGAGATCATGACCTGAGCTGAAGTCAGATGCCTAACGGACTGAGCCACCCAGGCGCCCCTACAATTGCCATTTTAAAGGGACATTCCAAGGCATGTAAGGTCACGTGCTGGAGGGGTGCTGGCTTTGTTCCCTCAGCTGCCCATGCGTGCTGTGCCGTGCCTAGAGAGCTGGACTCTCCAAGCCTCTTCTGGGAACTTGCTTGGCTTTCCCGCTCACTCCCTTTCTCACCTGCCTCCAGATGGTTCCTGCATCCTGGCTCTGATCTGCATGTTCCAGCTCTCCTACGCTTCCGGACTCGCCCTTGGTTTCTTCCGCTCGGCTCCGGATCCTCCCTCCAGGACGAGGCCCAGATCCGCCTCCTTCTTCTTGCTGCTTTGGACGGCCTTGGGAGGCATGCCTGGCCTCAGATGGCCCTCAGCCGGGTTGAGGAAAGGGTGGGAGGCCCAAGCAGAAGAGGCTGTGATCTCCCTGGGCCCAGAGTCGAAGCTGATACTGCTCCTAATGCCCTGGGTCTCAGCCACTCCCACCCCCTGGTTGTTGACCAATAGCCTGGTCTGACGCTAAAGCCGAAGAATTTCCATTCAGTTGGGACCTAGGGTTGGGGGGGGGGGGCTTCTCTGCCAGTAAGTGACATTCTCTGCTACTGAAAGGCCTCACGTTCCTGTCCCACTAAGCCTGGGGTGGCCACCACGTGACAGCACCAGGGAACACATGTCTTCTGGGACCATTTCTGAGCTGAGCAGCTGGCAAGTTTGTTTCTCCATGTCCCCTGGGGCAAGGGCAGGGGTGGGGGCAGTGATAATGAACCGGGGTTCTGGCCTCGCTGTGCGGAGCGTGGTCCCCGCTGCCCAGCCCGATATGGCACGGACAGCTGGAAAAACTGACCATGTGGCTTGACTATCTCAGAGGATTGCTCTATTTTTCCTCCGCATAATTTTTCCATGAATAATCTTTAAAGCTCTTTAAGTGGCTGTTTCTTTAGCAGTTTTATTGGAACATATGAGAACTGACAGTCTCTGTGGGGAACGAGATATCATGTTGAAAAAAAAAAATCTGGTTTTCATTACATTTCTCTCAAGAAACCAACAGGCTGCCCAACAGACCACTCATTGATTGGAAGAGAAAAGAGCACAGGGCCTTCTAATAATGGCTCTGCAGAAGACAGGAGTGAGGGTGATGAATGGTCCTAGCTAAGAACTCAGAGTCTGGAGGCAGGCAGACCTGGGCTCCCGTGCTATCTGCCACTTGCAGGCTGAGTGACCTTGGGAAAGCCACCTCGCACCTCTCCACCTGATTCTACATCTGCAACACAGGAACAGTGGTCTGACCTGGCAGCCTCCCTGTAAGGAGGAAATGATCCAGCATCCTTCCCTCCTTCCTGCAGCAAACGTTTCCTGACCCTGTGCCAGCCCTGAGCCAGGGGCTGGTCAGCCACGTTGGATTAGAGGGCTGATGCCCTGCTTTCATGGGGTTTACAGTCAGGTGGGGGAGAAAGACAAGCAAGCGGAAAATTACACCCAGGAGGGACACGTGCTTCGATAGGAGAAAAAGAAATAATCATCATGGTAATAGCAAAAACTACACCGACAGAGTAACTACCACGACGATAATGGTGGTGGTAACGGAACACCTGACCTTCTTTGTGCATCTACACGCGCCACACACTGTGCTAAATGCTTTGTACACAGGATCTCATTTAAAGGCCTTGCGGCAACACTGCCTCCCAGGAGCTGTTGTTAGCTCAGCGCTGTGATGTGGGACCTGAGGTCAGAAGGGTTAGGGAGCTTGCCTGGGCAAGCAGCTGGTGACCAGTGGAGCCATCTGAGTGCGTCTGAGAACGCGGGAAGGTCGGAGAGGAGCTGAGGGTCTGACATCCAGGCTGAGCCTAAGAGATCCAGCTGAGGCCTATGCAGCAGGAGCAGGAAGAGCAAAGACAATGGAACCTACTAGAGAAACTGCAGGGAGCCACCCTGGCGGAAGAGCTGAGGGCGGGACTGTGTATGGGGGGGGGGGCGGGTGGGGGCGGGGGTGGAGCGGGGGAGGAGGGGGGGTGGGGTTTCTGGCCAGGTTTCACCTGAGGAGCTTGGAGTTTAAGGAGGGGAAGGTGTGGAGATTTTTAGGAGGGGCGGTGATGTGCTCAGAATCGCACCCTAGAAAGCTCACTCTGGCTGGAGAAGCACGTGGTTGCAGCCCCAACGACAGGCCGGGAAGGAGAAAGAGGAGAGGGGTCTAGGGGGTGGATCAGCAGGGGTGTGGTGGGAGGGGGGCTTGGGGCAGCGTAGCTGGATGCCAGTGCCGTTCACTTAGGGAGCAGGCTTGGGGGACTGACGAGAAGTTCAGGTCGGGACTGATGCGAAGGGGCCACTGGGAGAGTGTTCAGGAGACAGACCGCGCCGGGGACAGAAGTGTCCAGCCAGGGGAGTGTGGAGCCCCGGGAGTGGGCGAATTATCCAGAGTTGCAAGCTCGGTGAGAAGAGGGAAGGCCTGGGACAGAACCAGTGTTTGTGGGATGAGAAGAGACAACCTAAAAAGGAACTTGTGTAGAACCAGGGTCGACAGAACAACTCTTTGAGAAAAGCGTCATTTTAGATGCAGGAGGAGAGTGATCTCGGGCTTCACTTGTAATTCTAACGGAAGGCGTCAGAGGCGATGCGCGGTTTTCAGGCCAGCGGCCCTGACTTCGGCTGCCACTTCTTCCCGCTCCGAGGTGCCTGGTGCAGGCAGCACCCATCTCTGGGGCTGGAACACACAGCAGCGGCTGCCTTCCCTCGGGTGTGGGTCTCTAGGGGGAGCAAGCTGGAGGGGCCTGGCCTGCCACCTCAGTCGGCCGGCCAGCGCCAAGAGCCAGCGTCCCCCTCTGCCCACCCATATGGACCCTGCAGACAGTTGTGACACACCTCAGAAACGGCCTTCTGCTCCGCTAGATGTTTCCCTCGGGAGAAGGGAGAGATGGAGGAAAAAGCCGCTGACCTGCTCCCTTCCTCAGGGGCTAAAGGAGCGGCAGCAAGGGGTTCCAGGGAGACGCAGGCCCAGTGCTGACGACACGCATGTCCTGCGTTCTCAGAGAGGGCAGCGACCCCGTGTCCTCAGAGAGGGCCAGGCCCTCCGGTCACTCACTCTCCCGTGGCCTGCACTTGCCTTCAGCGCTCATCCACTTGTCACTAAGGAATGAGATGTGACTTCCTGTTGACCAGAGTCTCCCACCAGCACCAGCTCGGGGAGGCAGGGGCTGCGGGACTCGAGTGTGCACGACAGACGGGCCGGTGCTCTGGCTACAGACGGGCTGGCTCTGCCGAGGGGGACGGGGAGCCTTGTCCCCACGGCTTTCCGGCAGCAACTGGGGCCCTGGCCCGGTCGGCATTGCCCAGGTTAAGCAGTCTGGCAGCCAGGCTGCCGCTCGCGGGGTGCTTTCCGAGTCTTGCACACTGTAAGTTAACGGGAGGCAGCTGTGGCAGAGGGGACTTGGAGTCACGAGACTCGAGTTCCAGTCCAGCCTCCGCCTGGGCTGCCGGGAGCTTGGGGTCCGGCCTCCTCGGCCCCCGAGCCTCTCCGGGTTGGAGAAGGGGAGTGACCACGGCCGGACGTGGAGCTCCCGACAGTGCCACCGGGCCATGCGGTTCACGGGGTGGACTTGCTCCCAGCTTGAAGAGGGTTCTGCGCCTCCCGGCCTCTTTACTGTGTGTGCCGTGAGCCCTGTTCCCACAGCGGGGACTTGGGCCCTCTCCGGGGCTGCCAGAGCCCTGTGGCACCCGGGGACATGGGGGTCCTCTGCACAGAAAGCCTTCTCTGGCCAGGTTTCACGGTCGGGCCTCAGCGCTGGTCACTTTCACATTCACACACGTGCTTTGTTTCTCATACATGCAGCTCTCCCGGGTCCTTGCTGTGAGCCAAGATCTGGCTCACACGTCATTCAGAATGCCCCGGTCCATTTCTTTCTGAAAAATGGCATTGGATCCCCCTTCAGCGGTGGTGAGGCCCAGATGCTTTCTCCCTGGGGTCAGGGCAAGGAATGCAGGGGAAGCCGCCAGTGCCGTGTGCGGCGCGGTGGGGGGAGGAGGGGGGCTGGGCCACAGTGGGGCACAGAGTTGGACAGAAGCGGGCTTGTGTCTCTGCTCCTCTGCTTGACCTTGACATAGCAGGCCACGAGGTGAGAGACGAGGAGCGGAGATGTGAACTTCCAGAGCGAAGAGGCGGGCGCTGGCTTCTCAGCTCTTGAGCCCCTTGCCCATTCTGAAAATCTATGAAAGCTAACAGAGGAGGCTGTGGAAGGGAGAGTCCCCAGCCCTGCCCACGGGGTGCTCTCTTTTTCTGCTCACTACTCTACAGTGCAGGCCGACGTCCCCACAGACCGCTTGGGGAACTTGAAATATGTCCTCAGCAGTTGGGAGACCCAGGGGACTCCTAGTGCCTTGCTCAGTCATGGGAGCCAACATGGCCCCAGCCACACCAGGGTCAGCTGCATCTGCAAGTCTGTCAGGACAAGGATGGCTGTGGCCTCCCACCAACCAAGGGCTCACAGGGACCCAAGCAGCAAGGAGCTGGCAGTGGACACAGACTCTGAGGGGCCATGGAAGGGGCTGCAGTGGCCCCAGAATGGATTTGCATCTGTCTAGGTCAAGGGACCTGTGGGATCCCATGGAAGTGCTCACCTGAGGAAGCATCAACGAACTGACTGTCACCTGGAGGCCCCAAGACAGCAGTGCCCGCCGCTAAGACCATGTCCTTTGTGGCAGGCCCTGAGGTTAGCAAGCCAACAGAGATGGAGAAAGGCCTGGTGGGGAGAAGGGCCAAGCACCCCCAACCCTGACCATGAGAGGTCAGGCCTCATGCCCCCAGCTAGGGGGAGCAAAGAAGACTTAATGGCAAATCAGATTTGCAGTTGTGTCTCTCACACAGAACCAGCCTTCTAAGAACCAAGCAGGGAGAGTGTGTGACTCAAACATGTCTCTAAGAAAGGCACAGATGTGCCAAGGTTGTCACCCAGGGCCGTGATGACTGCACAGACACCGGGAGACATAGGGAGAGACCTGTGCCTGAGGGGGGTGGGCCGGCCGGAGAAGGGGGCACAGCCGCACACTTTTGATTGCTGTACCGCACAGACACCAGCAGCAATGGGGACAGAGCCCAGAGCAATCCGGGACCTGCAAGCGCATCCTGGTTGTCCCACGCATGGGATACAGGCAACCACCAGTCCAGACCCCTGGGCTTAGCGGCTGGCTCTGCTCCTTCCTGCCCCAGCACCTCCCCCTACAGAATACGGATATCAGCCTTCACCTCACAGGGTAGGCGTGGGGGTCCTGAATGAGCACAGGAAGTGCTTACAACAGTGTCTGGCAGTGAGTACAAGCTCAGTGCGCGCTAGCTGCCGCCACCACCACCATCATCGTCGCCGTCATCGTCGTCGTCGTCGTCATCATCATCATCATCGTCATTGTCATCATCCAGCCTCTGTTCCCCCACCGCGAACTAGCTGGCGTGGTGGTTTTAACCCACGTCCACAAATTCTTGACGTGGTCCCTGTTGAGTGGTAGGGTCTCTGGCCCCCCTCCTTGGACCAGGGTGGACCTTGACCGACAGAGCACAGTAGAAGCGAGGCTACGTGACTTCCGAGGCGGGTCACGCAGACGCCATGATGCAGCTTCCACCCAGCTCTTGGGACGTTTGCCTTGGGGGAACGCTGCCGTGTAGGAGTCTGACCACTCTGAGCCTGCCATACGGTAAGGAAGCCCAGGCCACGTGGGAGGCCACGTGTACACACGCGTTCTGCCCCAGCCGTGGCCCGTCAAGAGCCAGCATCACACACATCCAGATGATTCCAGCGCCTAGCGGTTGAGTCCCTCTCAACCTTCGACTTTCTGGCAGAGGCCCCGGATATTGTGAGGCAGAGACAAGCCCTCCTGGCTGTGTCCCGTCCTATTTCCTGATCCACAGAACCTGTGCATGTAACAAAATGATGGTTTTGTGACACTAG